TCTAAAGTAAATCTAGGACCTTTTGGTAGTGTTTTATGCAATAATTTTGCTTCCCAGCAAACCGAGGAAAACCTATTTTCGCATATCAGAAAGATTAAGTAAACTATCATGAAAGAGCTTCTTAGAGGTTTGCTATCAAAATACAGATGTGCTTTAATGCATGCATACTTACAGTCATGTCAAGGAAAAGGAGTGGCTGCATTAAATGCTTAATTTAGTTTTAGCCACGTTTTACTGTGCCCACCCCTCTCTGACTCACCCTCAAGTGGCGCCCATTAATTCAGCACCGCTCTCTCAAGTCTTCATCAATGTTTATCAGAGCTAAACATTTCATTAAATTTCATTCATCTGCTCTGAAACAGGGTCATAGAATGTATATGCATGCACGGCTAAAATATGTTTGTTTGTGTGAAAGTGTTCTAATGACAAAGTCAAGGAATGAAGGGCACGATCTTTTCAGCAAGACATTTGTGTATAAGTCAATACGGAATGAGAGGACTTCCTCTCTTGTTACAGGTGGACTCAGAAAAATATCACAAATAAAAATATGTGAGGGGGTGGACACAAAGATCTTTCAGAGTATAATACACAAAAAAGCATGTTTACCTGCAGTGCCAGACTTTGGTCGAAGTTGTACGCACTGGGCCGACCTTCCAGGGTGGAGAAAGCCACATTTCCTCCAGTAAGGGGTGAGATATCACTGAACTCGTCTGTACACAGGGCGGTCCTTTCATTATCTCCTGGGCGGATATAGCCTCTAGGATCCTTTTCATAAGTCCTCTTACAAGAGCCGCTGTAGTATTGGTATGGTAACCAAGGCTCATCCTCTGCCGTACGTCTATAAATGGCAAAGCTCTCCGGCCGACTGGTGTAAAACTTCAGACGAATGTAGGTTATCTCAAAGGCTTTTCCTATGAAAAAAAAATGCTTTGATTAGAATTATTAAAATAATTACAGTCTTGCTTAGTCTGCAGAGTTATTGTTCTTATATAGTTCATTCTCTTATGTAGCACATTGTGAAGGGCTAGTTTAAAGCCCAGGAGCAAACACAAAACTGATATAACTTCATTAAAGGGATGGTTAATGGACTTAATTTCCTGTGCCTCTGCCATGTAGGCAGGATAAATGGATGTCATTTCAGCAGGGATAAAGAAATAACTGGGGGTACTGTCTTAATTTCAACACCATGGGTGGCGTACAACTGGTCAGAAGGAAATAAAGAATAACACAGAAAGAGGCAAAAGGTTGCAAAAATCCCAAGAAGAAAAGATCCAGACTAATACTGAATCAGCAATACTGGCTAATGCATCATTGAAAATGTGACAGAAAAGTAGTCAGCTTAGTCAACGTAACATGGACTGATCAAACAAAACATGTCATTAAGTGTCATCTCATAGATTTCAACGCAGAGTCGATTGAGGAACACCTCTGAAGCAATAGTCAAAGATGTAATGACTGGCCCACACATGGGCATTATACAACCTGCATACACATCCTAGTGGCTCTTGTAAATGAAGTAAACAGAAAAAGGACCAAAATGAATTTACCCATCATCACTACTCAAGAACATTGGTGCTGACTTGCAAAAATAATGACACATATTGCTTGCACACCTGGTAGATGTGTCTGACCCTTTGGTTCGTAGGTGTAGTCAGTTGAAAAGTCAGTACCGGTGCTTTGAAAGGGCAAATAAAGTACATTATGAGGAAATGTGTGTCTAAAGCAGATACATCTGTTTCAAGTTTTGCAACAACTGTAAATATGTTTATTGCTAACATGAAAAATACGTTTCTAACTGGGAATCTCTATAAAGTTTGCATCGCATTGTGTTTTCACTGTTTCTGACTAGTTGGTGACCTAAAATCACTAAACTTTGTGTTTGCAACTAAACAGCCAGAGTGCCATGAAAATGTGTTTTGAACAACAAGCTCAATCGTAGCCTTTTTCATGTGTATGGCTTGCAAATCTACAATCTTGTCCATGCACCTTATTTCATGGATTACCTTTGCCCACAGTGTATCCATCTCAGTTTATTTTGTAGCTGCTCTCTCATTTCTTTGTCTGGTTTTATCAGTGGGAGTACACTTTTGAAATAAAGAATGGCCGATTTGGAACAGGTTTTTTTTTTATGTTTTGGAGGTGTGCAAACACATAATGAAAGGGTCTAACTGAACAAAACCAGGTGTGAAAAAGAAAGTCCAAGTCAGATGCAACTAGGCAAGGAGATGTCGAACAGGCTAGAGATTATTTTAATTAACCGTTTATTGCCAGTTAATAAGGAGCTCCAAGATGAGGCTTACCATAGGTGAGGTAATTAAACAAACAAATGGATTTCTCAGTAACACCAAAAACAACCATCTAATACACAATGATGAACTTGCACCAAAACGAGACACAGCAATCACAGCACACAAGATGGAGATGCAATCACTGACACACCAACCACCACACCCACTGGCTGAAAAGACAGATACATAAGTGATATTAACATTTTTTTTTTATAAATCACCAAATGTGTTCTATCACCTATCTTTGCACATCCTCATCAACAGTTCTGTGTGACAAGGTTATTGTAAACCACATACCACTACCAAGTTCAAATCAGACCAGGTCAATGACAAAAGACCTGGCCGATGGGCTCACTGGACATTTGATTAAGAGACGCCAATCATGTTTGGTTACAATGAACAAGGTGAAGCAAGGTTATCTTAAGGTTATTCTAAAGGTCAGTGTCACTCCATTGTTTTTCTGAAGGCAAAGCAGGAGCATTCCTGTAGTCAGTGTTGGTGAAGTAATTAGCAACATCTTCCATTGGTGCAACCAATTAACAGCAGACCAGGGGAATGGCTCCTATGACATTAAACAGCATGTTAAAATGGAGCTTGTTAATTAAATTAAAGCATTGCATTTAGCAGACAATATATACCAACAGGTGGCATATCTTGGTACAAGCGGTAGCATTAAGCTTAAGCTTATTAAGCATTAGGCTAACCATGTGTACCTCCAGCAACACTCATTGAGTACACCATACAGCATGTCCGTAATTAAGGAAGTATCCACATAATGGTGATCTAAGCAGAGTTTAACAAAAGGAGACCCTAACAGAATGACCTGCAGGAGAAGCAGCAGAAACAAACCAAGAGAACCCATTAACTTCAGTCAATAAACAAGCGGTAAACCATAGTCCCCCTTGCTGGAGCTTTTGAATATTGAATGTTTTAGTTGTCAAGATGAGTGCTTTACTGAACTGGAATTGAACAGGGATTACATGTAAAACAATACATTTGGTGCAAGATATACAAGTGGTTGGGCATTAAACTGTTTAGAAGAACAGAGGAAGTTTTTTGTTTTCTTGCCCGAGGTGGCGCAGAGTGATGGATCCTGGTGAGTGGAGGGAGAAATTTTATCCACCACTTGGTGCAATAGGTGCATCATCATGCTCACAACATGGATGGACAGTTGTGGTGCAATTTATGGCAACCCAATTTTCAATTAGAACCATTCTTACGTCTAGATGTAGCCAAACCCCAAGATGAGTCGGCATCTCACTTGTTTTTCCATTTATCACACTCCCAACATTCATGAACAGACAGACGGTTAGCTAGACAGATAGACGGAGGGTATTTCCAATTCCCCCTTTTTGCTCTGTGACAGGGGACGAAAAAGGGCTGTATACCCTGCATTAGGGCATTGTAGTAACACTAGTACTCATTGGCCTTAGGTAAGTGTGTTGAACACTGACTGGCCGTCATCCTAATCAGAAAAAGCCAGAAAGCAGACAAAATCTTGCCACATATTTTTTTTGTCTGTAGGAGGAAACCAGAAAGACTGGAGAAAAAAAAATGTGTGCACAGATACAACATGTAAACTCCACTAAAAAAAAAACAGCCTAGAAGATGAACCTGCACCTTCTTTCAACCACTGTGCCATCATGCCACTATGTAAGAACATTACACCTTGAATATGAACTCACTTAAAAAGTTGCCAAGTGCTGTTAAATAATAAGAAAGAATAAACTGGTCAGACACAGACTAAAGTCATAGCAAAACCAGGAAGATGGGTCAAATGGTGAAAATCTTCTACCAGACTTGATTGGTGAACTCCAGGGGGGTTTAATCTCCATCATTACATCCTGAGGCTCAACTGCTTTAAACATTCATAGAGTGCTGCCATCCACTGGTACAGCCATAATGGCATCTGCTGCTTCAGTCTGCCAAGTCAGAACTTGGCATCCTTGAGACTTGTCTCTCCAGAAATCTTTAATGGTATCTTTGGTCTAGGCGCCCTCAGATCATTTAGCTTTCATTTACTCCCTGCATGAGGTGAGCTCAGCCCTGCTGAGGCAAAAAACATGAAAGGAGCAGAAGATAAAATACATCCTGGACATCTTCTGTGATGACACACAGACTAATTGCAAAATATATGTGTTTCTACGATCAGTGTTTATTTAATCTGGATTTTTGTTCATAATCTATCATTTTTAATGAAGTCATTAGTCAATGATTGCACAGTAAAAAGGTTTTAGTCAAAGTAAACCCAATTACATAAAATTTCTAAAATTACCAGGTATACAGCGTGTTACAAAAGTATTCACTCCCTCCAACATTCTTGCTGTTTTGTTGCCCAATAAATATTTGAAATTACCATACATTAAAATTAAATGGGGAAAAAAATGTCTTAAACATATACATCTGACAAGCAGTGTGTGCATAAGTATTGGCTTCACAATCACTGTGACTATAGATGGTCCAAGATTCTTTAAAAAAATGTGTAGATTCTTTTTTGGTATTTTATTATTACTTTTTTTAATTTTACACACACACACACACATGCGCGCACTCAAAATTGCCTTCTCAATGTAGTAGGTATATATTTTAATAAAAAAAATGCAAATTGTTAAAAAAAACCATTAAAAATCAGTTTGTAAAACAACAAAACTACGTGAATGCTGAGAAATCTGGAAAACTTTGTATCCCACTGGTTTACATATAGGTAAATATCAGTTTTGTGTACCAGACAGGTTTCTGAGTAGTAAAAATTAAAGAACTTATATGTAATATAAGTATGCATATGTAATGCAGTCCAGGGGTGTCAAATCCTGGTCCTCTAGGACCTCTATCCTGCATATTTTACTTGTTTTCTCGCTTCAACACACATGATTCAATGAATAAATTACCTTTTCATGTTCTACAGAGGCCTGTTAATCACCCATTGATTCAAATCATGTGTCGGAGCAGAGAAAAATCCAAAACATGAAGGATAGTGTCCCTCGAGGACCAAGATTGGACACCCCTTGTCACGGCAGCGGCAGTAGACCAACCTGTTATTTCAATCTGTGCAGGTGATATGTTGTGGCATCCCAGAAAAAGTTTGTAACATTTGAACCAATGCTATCAAAATCTATTTCTGACATTGAAAGAATGGGCACTATTAGTCGCTGAGTCACTCGCGTCATCCTAACACAGCTGCTCTCGTCTAGCCAGACGGAGACTAAACATCCCACAAATACTGTACACAATTCACAATCTGTTTACCAAACCAATGGGGTGGTGGATTTATCATCCAATCGTGCTAAATCTCAAAGTTTAATAGAACAAATCTTGCTCACTTACAGAGGATTACGTCTCGAGTCTGGAGCAATAATCTGGTTGTGAAAGCGCCCTGCCAACTGTGGCAGACTTTTATCGTTACTTTACATCAGAGGCAGGATGTTGCTTTCCTTTGACAGCGCTGAATGAGAACCAGCTGCAGGCATTGATGTGTGCTCATAGAATGTGTGTTTCTTTCTCACCAAGTCTTTCTGGGAAAAACCTGACCCCAATTCCTTACCAAGCAAAGCAGAATATTCTTTTCTTATCTTTCTATTTTCTCTACCCCTTCTTCCTTATTATGTTTTGTTTACGCCCCTTGA